GACCTCTCAGGCTATGCAGGCCCCCACAGAGACCTGTTACCTTCCAGGGCATAAAAATCAAATCATTGCCTTAAAAAAGATGATTTTATTAATGAAAACAAGAAGGCATACTTGATAAATCATACTTGGTTGTTAGGTGTTACAGAGCAACTAACAAAAAAATTAAAACAACAGAGAATATAGTATCTCTGGGTAGAGTTTAGATAGTGAAGGGGGTGGGAGGAGCACATGGATTTTACACAGAGAAGTTTTACTAAACAGACAAAACAAAAATACCCTGAGTGCGACTGAACATACATTCCTCTCTCCTCGTGATCTGTGCTGATATATACTTCAAGGCCCAGTTCACTCCCCCGCCCAATATTCTTGTAGGCATGGTAGTTCAGATTACTGCATCTTGCTCCCTCCAGCCCTTAATTTAGAACTCACACAAAGAGAGCAGGCAGATATATATTCAGAATTTAAATTTTAGCACTGTATCCCATTGGATCTGTCTTCCTGCCAACCAGGGAGGAACACTTGAATTCTTCCCCAGGGATACCCCACTCTTTTCTGCCACGAGAGCATGAAAAAAGAAACAAATGAAAATACAGAAAACAAATTCTGTCTTTGATAGCTGACCTCTCAGGCTATGCAGGCCCCCACAGAGACCTGTTACCTTCCAGGGCATAAAAATCAAATCATTGCCTTAAAAAAGATGATTTTATTAATGAAAACAAGAAGGCATACTTGATAAATCATACTTGGTTGTTAGGTGTTACAGAGCAACTAACAAAAAAATTAAAACAACAGAGAATATAGTATCTCTGGGTAGAGTTTAGATAGTGAAGGGGGTGGGAGGAGCACATGGATTTTACACAGAGAAGTTTTACTAAACAGACAAAACAAAAATACCCTGAGTGCGACTGAACATACATTCCTCTCTCCTCGTGATCTGTGCTGATATATACTTCAAGGCCCAGTTCACTCCCCCGCCCAATATTCTTGTAGGCATGGTAGTTCAGATTACTGCATCTTGCTCCCTCCAGCCCTTAATTTAGAACTCACACAAAGAGAGCAGGCAGATATATATTCAGAATTTAAATTTTAGCACTGTATCCCATTGGATCTGTCTTCCTGCCAACACCCTTAGTTACCTGTGTTTAACTCTTTAGTCACTGAGTGCTGACTAGCACTCCTCCTATCCATCACAGATCACAACCCACTTTGGGATTTGAACACCACTGACCTACCATACAAATTTTGGTGAACAAAGGTTCCACACAATGGCATCCAAAGATTTGTTTTAACTTTTTTTAAAACGATGTGATTTAGTTTTATATTATCTGAATGTATCCCTTGGCTGTCTCTTAAGTATTTATACACTAGGGTGATGTCTACACTGCTCCCTCTTGTGCAAAAAAAATGCAAATGAGGCTAAGCGTGGAATATTGCTGTGCCTCATTTGCATAATTAATGAAGCTCTGTTTTTGGCAAAAAACCCCTCTTGCGCAAAAACAGCACAAGTGGGGGCAGTGTAGACATAGTCTAGCAGATTAACCTGGCATTGCTTGGGTGTATAAGGGCATGCAAAGGCCCCATGAACGCACCTGGGAAGGGGAAAAGGGTGAGGGAATCCCCAGGCAAGAGAGGAGTAGGAGTGGAAATCGGGAATCCACACTGTATGGCTGTGTCTAGACTGGCCGCTTGAATTTCCAGAAAAGCACTGACGATCTCATGTAAGATCGTCAGTGCTTTTCCTGAAATACTATGCTGCTCCCGTTCGGGCAAAAGTCTTTTTCTGAAAGACTTTTGCGTAAAAGGGCCAGTGTAGACAGCACGGTACTGTTTTCTGCAAAAAAACCCTGATTGCGAAAATGGCGACCGGGGCTTTTTTGCGGAAAAGCGCGTCTAGATTGGCCACGGAGGCTTTTCCGCAAAAAGTGCTTTTGCAGAAAAGCATCCTGCCAATCTAGACACGCTTTTCCAAAAATGCTTTTAACGGAAAACTTTTCTGTTAAAAGCATTTTCGGAAAATCATGCCAGTGTAGACATAGCCTATGGGTGAAGTGTGGTGGGAGAGGAAGGGAGGGAGGGAATCCCCAGGCCCTGAGAGGAGTGACATGGGGGGTGAAGGGCATCCATAGGTCCCATGAGGAGGCAGGGAATCCTCACATTCTGGGTGAAGAGGCAAGGCAGGAAGGGAATCCTCACACCCCAAAAGGCCAAGAGGAGCAACTTAGGGAGGGGAATTCCCATCTCCTGAGTGGGGGAAGGAGAGCATGGCCTGGCCGTATGCAGAACTGCGCAGCGGGGCAGGAGGAAGAAGGAGGGTGTCCCTAGGTCCCATGAGGCGCTATATGGGTGGAGGGGACGAGAGGGACTCCCCAGTTACTAGGTGAAGCTGTGTGTTGAGGGGGAGGGAATACCTAGGCCCTGTGAGGAGGCATGGGTGGGGTGCAGGAGGAGGCAAATTGAATCCCCATGATCCAGAGGAAGTTGGTGAAAGGGGAAAATTGCTAGGCCCAATAAGAGCTTCACAGCAAGATGGGGGATCTCCATGTGTCTGTGTGGAGGGATGGGGGAGGAGGAGTATGCAGGTCCTTGTGGGGGGGGGGGGAGATTGCCTGACCCCATAACAAGGTGGGAGAGTAATGCCTAGGCCCTGTAGCTGCGGCAGGGTGGGGGGAGGGAATCCTTACCCATAGAAGGTGGCCTGCCCAGCAGCATGCAGAGCCTCATCTGCAGCTGGTCAGTCTCAGGCTGGTGTGGCTGCCCCCAGTGCTCACTCTGCAATATCCCATCCTTGTTCGCTACCCCCAGTGATGAGTGTGAGGATCACATCCCTCCTCTCTGTCCTATGTTGTGGAAAATAGCCCCATTCCCATCATTGCTCGTGTTCCTGGAACCCTCACTTTGCTTTAAGTGAAGGTAAGAGAAAACTGCCTGCCAAATTTGGTGGCCTTAGCTGTTAGTGTGTAGGAGGAGTTATTGCACAGATGGACAGACAGACATCTCATTTATATTCCTCTGACCTTATTCATGAGACTTGTGGTCCTATACACTTTTTTAAAACTTCTTTGTATGAATTTATTTTTATTCCTTAAAAAGGAAGAATGCTTCTGTGGTTCTGGACTGGAACTCAAGAAATCAAAGGTTCAGTTCCTGGCTCAACTGCAGATTTCTTGTGGGACCTTGGGTATGTAACTCTGTCTCAGTTCCCCATTTGTTTAATGGTGATAGTGCTAGTATATTTTAGGTTAAAAGGACCCATTATGGTCATCTAATCTGACCTGCATAACACAGGCCAAAAAAACCTCACCTTGCAACTTAGAAAGAGAGCCAGTTCAAGGGATGGAGAATCTATTACATCCTCAAAGGTATGTCTAGACTACAAGCCTCTTTCAAAAGAGACTTTTTCAAAAGAGCTCTTTCGAAAAAGATCATCTAGACAGCCACAAGACTTTTGAAAAAGCGATCCACTTTTTTGAAAGAGAGCACCCAGGCAATCTGGATGATCTCTTGTGAAAAATCCCTGTTTGCATTCAACACCTTTTTTTGAAAGAGCTCTTTCAAAAAAAGGTGTTTTTCCTTGTAAAATCAGGGTTCGTGCTGTAGAAAAAACCGCCGCGTTCTTTCGATTTAATTTTGAAAGCACATGATGGCAGTCTAGACATAGGTGAAGTTTTTTCGAAAAAAGGCCACTTTTTTTGGAAAAGCTCTGTAGTCTAGACATAGCCCAAGTGAGTTGTTCTCAGAATTAATTACCCCCACTGTTTTAAATATGTACTTTTTTTTTTCATTTGAATTTGTTTAGCTTACCCTTCCAACCATTGAATTTCATGCCTTTTTCAACCTATTTAGAGATCTCTTCCCAACTGAGGCAGTTATAAAGTATGATCAAGTCGCCACTTACCCTTATCTTAGATAAACTAATGAGCTAACTTAGTATCCTACTATAAGGCATATTTTCCAGATCTTGACTCATTCTTGTAAGTGCTTTTCTGAACCCTTTCAAATTTTTGAATTTTTTTTCTTCAAATGTGGAACTAGAACTTGGCACATAATTCCACTAAAGGTCTCGAGAACATTATACACACCAGCAATACTACTTCCCTATTCCTAGTTCATATGCACCTGCATATACATTTAAGGATTAATTTGCTCTTTCAGCTACAGCATAACACTGAGAACTCATGTTTTCCTGATTATTTGCTATGACGCTTCAGTCCTTTTCATAGTGTTTTCCAGGATGTAGTCCTCAGTCTGACCTACAATCTTTGTTACTATATGACTTTGCACTTAGTTGTCTTTTAAAATGCATGTTGTTCATATGAGCCCCCCCTTACTAAATGATCCAGATTAGTCTGTATCACTGATTTGTCCCCATGTTAATTTATCTTCCAATATTAGTGTTACCTTTACCAGCAATTATTTTATGTTTTTGTCCATATCATTATAAACATTGATTAGTGAGTCAAGAACTGATAGCTTTAAGAATCCATTAGAGACAACCTCATTGGATGATAATTTCCCATTTATAATTACTATTTGGGGGCTGTGTTAATCAAAGTTTAATCCATTAATATGATTTTATGTAGTGCTAACTTTATCAGAATGTCATGCAGGACAATACCAAATGCTTTATAGAAGTCATCACAGTTACTTTTTTAATCTAAACTTGTGATCTTATTGTAACCAATTGGACACAACCCCCTTCCCTCCTCTTCATTGGTATCTAGCTGACCAGGCATACTCCTCAGCTTTCCCCTTTTTCCTTGATCCTACCTCTCTTGAGGTATGTCTAAACTACACCCCTCAGGTGGCAGAAGGATGTAAATTAGACATATTGAAAGTGCAAATGAAGCGGGGATTTAAATATCCTGTGCTTTATTTGCATAATGGCGGTCGTCGCTTTTTTTCGAAATAGGAGGACAGAAATTGTTTCGAAATTTGACATAAATGCCCTGTTTTGAAAGATCCTGTACTCCTCAGCTGCATTTGCATTCCTCTCTCGAAAGAGGAATGCAGTGTAGACATACCCTGAGAGGGTACCCCCATTGGCGCTAGTAATTCTGCTTCTCATGAGGAGTCAGAGAAGTCGATGGGAGCTTGTGCTCCTGACAACCTCCCACTGTATGGATGTTGCCAAAACATGATTTAAGATACTTCAGCTCCAGCTATGTAATCAACGTGGCTGGAGTTGCGTATCGTAAGTTGACTTTCTCCTTTACTGTAGACCAGGCCTTAGAGTGAGAATGTGGGAGGACACAATATCTGATGTGTTCATTCATGGTGGTTTGCATGGCTGAAGGGAAGTACTGCAAGATTCTATTCTAACTTAATTAAGCAAAGGTTGGCAAGAGTGTACATTTCAGTAGAACCTTAATTATGAACATCTGCAGAATGGAGGTTGTTTGTAATTCTGAAGTATTCAAAACTGAAAATAACATCATTCTTTCAAGAGTTTACATCTGAACAAAGACTTAAAACACCTTTTAAATTTTATTATGCAGAAGAAAAATGCTGTTTTTCTTTTTAATGCATTAATAGTTTACTTTTAATATAGTACTGTATATGCCATTTTTTGGAGAGAAGGGGAGAGAAAGGAAGCTGTGATTGTGTAGTTCTGGTTCCAAATGAAGTGTGTGGCTGGCTGGTCAGTTCATAAAACTGGGGTTTGTAACTTGGAGGTTCTATTGTCATTAGATTTCCCCTAACCCCCATTTTAAGATCATCATAAAGTTCAGATGGATGCAGGGATTAATCAGGCCACAGGAAGAGATAAGCACATTGGATTACAAAATCAAATTAAGCAGACAGATTTAAATTCTGCAGATTATCTTTGCCTTCCAGAGTGAATGCATAGTAGAACAAGTTCTTCCAATTCATGGAAGTGTCTACATACTTCCTTTCTACCATTACCTTCATATCAATCTGTGATTAAACCCACATCCAAATGCTTGAGCTCTGCAGCACAATAAGTAAATTTATTAAATTGTAACAAAAAGTCACTCCCTCGATTGAGCCTGCAACTTCAGAATTGAAATGCTCTGTTACCTGTACTTGGATAACTTTCTGTTTTTAGAATATAGGATAATAATAAAATTCTGTCAGTTCATGTACTGACTGCGGCAGTTCCACCTCCCCCCATGTTTTATGAAAGTTACTTATTGAATATAAATATGTATAACTCAGAGATGCTTTGAACAAATGTTAATGTTACAGTCTACAAGATCTGTATCACCTATTTTGGTGCATGTATTATTCTTTGATGTAAAGTTAGAAATATGAAGGATGAGACTGTTTACAGTTTTAAATGTGCTAATGAGAGCCAGTAATGATGCCCCCATCCCTAAAGTCTTAATGACTGGGTTATCAACCGAATGATTTGTAAACAGCCTTGTTTGTTCTTTAAGTCCAAAGGTGGTTGGATTAGTAAGACATGTGACCATACCACCTGGTACTGGGATTCCATTTTGACCAAGTAGTTTTCCATGGAAGAGGGAATGGATAAAGTCCCAGGGGAAAGTCTATTTAAGCAAAGAGAAGTCACCAGGTCAGAGTAAAAGAGTCCTAGACCTGAAGCTTATGTCTAGGAAATGAACAACTTTTTAGGGTAAGAGTCTGTTTGCAATAAGTTTTAATGTATTAGAACAAGCTATGTGGGTTTTTTTTTATTTCAATTTTGTAACACTTTGATCTGTTTTCACTTGCAACCTCTTAAATGCTACTGTTTGTTCTTAATAAAAGCATGTTTATTATCAAGCCCAGTGTAAATAATTGTTACCTGGGGGTAACAATGATCAGTATGCATATGCTTCTTTTATTAATAAAGGGGGCTTACCCGAATGACCTTTCACTGTATAAGAAGTTTACACAGAGAAAGATGGATTTATTTGGCATTTTGGTCCTTTGTGAGGCTTGGTTCCCTGGGTACTGTGCCCTAAACTGCATCCTCCCAGAGATGAAGTGGTTGTGTCTGCATTGCTCTTCAAGGGAGTGGTAACCCCATTTCTGTGCCTTATCTAGGGGAGATTAGAAGATCTGGCCCAGCAAGACAGGGTGGTAGGGAGCCCCAGAAACCAAGAAGGTAGGTATCAACGATATGATCAGCACACTGGGAAACAGTTCCAAAGGGTCTTCTGCAAAAGTGGCGAGGAGTCCTGTGGCACCTTATAGACTAACGGAAGTGTTGGAGCATAAGCTTTCGTGGGCAAAGACATGCATCTGACGAAGTGGGTCTTTGCCCACGAAAGCTTATGCTCCAACACTTCCGTTAGTCTATAAGGTGCCACAGGACTCCTCGCCACTTTTGCAGAAGACCCTTTGGAACTGTTTCCCAGTGTGCTGATCATATCGTTGATACCTACCTTCTTGGTTTCTGGGGCTCCCTACCACCCTGTCTTGCTGGGCCAGGGTCTTCCGTGACTGCACCCCACACACTGACATAAATGCCCTATTCTTGAGAACTACTTTATATTTCTGTTATTAGAGACCACTTTCTGTTAGGTTGCAAAAGGATACAGTTATTTACCAGGAAGTCTTACAGGTTTTCTGCACTGTTAGATAAGATTCAGACTACTGATAGTATATGTTTTAATTGTATCTGGATATGAAGATAACCGGAGAGAGTAATGGGCAAGATGCCATAAAAACATATATAGCTGAAAGTGAAATGAGGAAGGCAGATTAAGCAAGCAGCAGAAGAGGGAGAATAATAATTACCAAGATGCACAACAGAAAGAAGAAAGCTAAGGGAACCTGAATCTTAGACACTTACCCTGCTCATTAAACTTAATGTTTGTATCAACAGCTCCATATGACAGGAAATGACATGGACATTTTGGTCAAATAGTTTGGCTGCCCTTAGTTTCAGCCAGCAACTGGCAAAATGGATTAAATGGATTACCCCCTGGAAGGAGACAGAGCTGAATATTCCCTCTGGCTTTAGTAAGGAAAGAGCAGAGATGAAATCCGTGGACTGTGTGCATGTCATTCAACAGAAGGGCACCCTCTCCTTTCCTCCCGCTCTCACTGGTGCTGTTCCGGGCAGCAAAGGACTCCTCTCGATTACATTCCTGTGCCTTGCAGTGCTCCTGTCCTCTTCTCTTGCAGCAGTGTGTCTTTACCATGTTCTAACACTTCAAGCAGAACTAGCAACTCTCCGCAGCGAGCTGATCTACACAGTCCAGGCAAGGATCCCGCCACCCCAGCACCAGGATGAGCTTAAAGAGGGTGCCCTATCTTCTTCCTTGCAGTTATCAGCAGTCGCTGCTAGGCAGGTGAGTTACAATGGCCTTTGAGACCTACTCTTGGTTGTTAAAATGAGTCTTTGAAGCTGCTTTCCCCACGCTAACCTTTTTTGTCATTGTCAGGAAATCAGGCTCCCTGTTTTTGAGCCAGGTGAAGGTGATGCAGAGAGAGGCTGGAGTAGGGGCAGAAGCAGAGAGAGAAGGTCCGTTCTGCCTGCAGAAGAAATAGGTAAGTGACAAGGTGGGTAGGACTGCTGGAGGAAAATGTGTGGATACTGGAGAGACATGAGGATAGGTTTGAAAGGAGAGGAAAAAGGCAGAGCTTGACCTACGTTCTCAACTGGAAGAAATAGCAATTCAGTGTCCCCCATTGCTGTACACCACTGTTATAGAGTTAATGGTGGTAACTCGAAACATAATGACCCAAATGGACTGTTAATCCTTTGCCTAATGCACTTTGAGCATTGAACTTTAGGCAGGTTTTTAGATATGATTCCAACTTGCTCCTCATAATTCAGTCATCTCTCCTTAGTGAATCAGTCCAGAGCAGTAAATTCACACAATCCTAATAAAGTCACTTTTCTTGTAATAGTTACCAGTTTCCGCATGAAAGAGAGAAGTGGCGGAACAGCTTCACAGCTTTGTTTGGGGAAGTTTTAAGTTTTTACCGAGAACAGCTAATTTGGTACCTGTCAAAAGAGGCAGAAGAAGAAGAACCCACCAGACTAGTCACTTGCTCCAAATATTCCCCTTTAAAAATACAACTGCTTCTGTGTTGACAAGGTGATGTTTAGAAAAAGTTATATTAGAACTAACTCTCTCATGGCTTTAAGTCTATTTGAGGCTTCATGGAAAACTTTAGAAATTCTTGAGCAAAATGAGTTCTAATATTATGATTTTAATGGAATAGTTTTTCCCATTGGTGAAAGATTAAAGCTTTATTATGCTCTCAAGTTTATTCATGACCCATCAAATTAATAGGCATATAAGTGTATTGAGTGCTAACATTGTCCCTATAGTTCTCAGAGTTAGCACACTTTTTATTTGAATAGAGACCCTGTTTACCTCCCCGTATTACCTTAATTTAGCTAAAGGGGGTTTGTAAATTGATAAAATCAGTGCAATCCTCATGTGGATGCTCTCTTAAATTAGTTTGACTGGAAGTTGGTTTAATTTGATTCAGTAACTGATTTAATTAAATCAGGACAATTTGTATGTACATCAGCCCTAAGTCAGAATTTAAGCGATCAGCCAGAAACACATTTTAAATAAAATGGGATGTTTTGTGTAACTGAAATTTCATTTAGCAGGTTAAAGCCCAGATACTGTATATTCAATTACTTTCCCTTGAGTCCCCAAAAAGAAAATATTGTGTTTACTGAGGACCTAATCCAAAACCTGTGAATTCAATGGGATTTTTATAGTTGGCTTACTAGACTTTGGATCAGGTCTTCAGTTTAATAAAACCCTTAATCAAATTATTATTAGTCTTTCTTTGTATTACCATGGTCTCAGCCATAGACCAGGACCCCACTGTGCTAAGCTCTGTACAGAACAAAAGGACAGTCTATGCCCCCAAAGACCTTATAATCTAAGTATAAAACATGGGACAGCAGAGGGAGCCAGACAGATGGGGAACCCAGGAAATAATGTATTGCTCAGTGTGATAGGCTGTGATCTCAGCACACCAGCCACCAAATGCGTGTTCAGTTTTTTGGTATGCCTCATCCCAAAAGAGAGTTTTAGGGAAAATGTGAAGGATAATGACATCTCTTTGTGGATGTTTATTGGGAGACTCTCCAAACCATGAGGGGCTGAATGGGAGCAAGAGCAAGAAAGTGCTTGAGCACTGTTAGCCAATGAGAGGTGGGAGCTGATATTTTGATAACAAATGCAAAATGATGAGTAGAGTGGACATAGACTATGAAGGACCTTGAAAGTGAGGTCAAATTGCATATTTTTAATGCAATAGAGAAAGGGACAGCAGTGGAGAAACTACAAGAGGGATGAACTGGTCAAAGCAACAGGCTAGAAAAAATATCTTTGTAGCAGGATTCTGAATGGATCTGAGTGGGGCAGGACTGCATTTGTCAAGGCCTGAAAAAGGATCTTGCAGTAATCAAGCTGCAAGATGATGAAACAAGAGTTTTAGTGATGTGACTGGATAGGAACGCTGTATCTTAAGAGTACTATGCAGAACAAATCTGAAGTATAAGAAAACTTAGTGCTCTTTCTTCGGCCCCATCAAATTATCGCATGTCATCAGTCACCCACAAGTATCCCCAATTTATCAGTCCTCACTTCTGGTTTCAAGTTAGCTTAAATAAAGATAACTTTTAATTGGCCTAATATGGAGAATAGAATCATAAAATGAAAACTGATTTAAAAGAAAAAATTATACTGAGTCAGTTATTGCTACAAATGTCACTAATGAGGCCCCACAATTTAGGTTACTGAGTATTGGTGAAGCAAATTGAAAACCTGGTATACTGCGTCCTTTTGTGGCTCCCAGGAATATTGTGTGCATTTTCCAGTCCCAAAGGTCTGCATAGTCTCCAGAAGGAACTACTTTGAAACAAATCTCTCTAGAAAGAGGTCAAAATGAGGCAGATGCTGAAATGAGACACATCTTAATAGGATTATCTCTCTTCTGTTTTGAATGCAATGTTGTGGTGACATCAGCTTGCCAGTGTTCACTAACAAACTCTATGTTCCTGGATCCAGTGTTTTGGCCCTGCAAGGTTCACAAACATCAATGCAGATAGGCTTATGGCAGAGGGGTGGGAATAACCAGAAAGGATGGTGGTGTTCATGGTGCTGAATCATCTCACATTTAGTCATGGCAAGGGGGTTACTGCAGATTCAGTCTTTAAGTCCTCCCACATTTTGGTGCCTCCCCAATCCTTATAGGTACTGAACCAAACTCTGGATTATGCATCATTCATTTTGAAGTCATAATCTTAAAGTGAAGCATGTGCTTACGTGCTTTACTAGTTCAAGGCCTTAAAGCAACTTAACAGTAAAATATTTTTATGAATATATTAGTTTCTAATGGTCTCACAATTTACTTTAGCTCATATGTGATCATTGCCCATTGTTCACTGATAACTATCTTGGTTTAACAAAATAGTTAATAGTTGATAGAAAATTTAATCTAAAATGTTGTGTTATTGACATATCTCTTCATTAGGCAGTAGATAAAAACAGTATTTTAAATAAGAATCTAGTTTTGATAATATTTTGTTCAAACCTTTTTTTATTAATTTTAGATATAAAAAAACAAATGTCTGAAATGTATGTAACATCATTCATCCCATATACCCAATCCAGCAGTTGTGTGCATGGAATTCCTGTTTTAATTTTTTTTTTTTTCATTTGCTGGAAGTTCTGCATGTTAAAATGGCCATACAGTAGGGTTTTGATTACCATGAAGAGAGAAACAAAAATGAGCACATCACAATTATGGTCTTTTAAAAGCTCATTTTGGAAGATGCTACTATTATTTTTTATAATATATAATCATCAGTGCTAGTACAACATGTACCTTTGGAAGTTAAAAGCTCAAATGGATTGTTTGTTTCTACCAACTGTTCCAAATATAGCCTTATGGTTATCACTCACAGATAGAACTATTGCTGCATTGAGTGGGAATTAATAGACAACTGCAAAGAGTACATATAATTAGAATCCAGACAGATAAATCATAAAACCATTTATGACAGCACTTTTTTTAAAGAGCAGTATCTATCTATCTTTCTGACAGAGGAAAATATAGAGTCTTCAGCACAACTGAAACTAACACTATATTAAACATCATGGTTACATTCATTCATTTTGTGCCAACATGTTTTCTGCTGGAGATACAGGAACCCGGATGTCCAGAAACAAGAATGTGGTTTTTGATTATCTGGGCCAAATTATTTATCTATATGTGCCAAGGTTTCATTCACATCCACTGTGTAGGCCTGAGTCTGATCTCCTTTCCACCAGTGTGACGCAAGAATAACTTTGATACCAGAGAAAAATAAGGGATATCAGAATCAAGGCTCCTGTAATTTTAAGCTTTGGTAAAGTGGTTTTTGTGTGTGTTTGTCGTGGTTGTTCCATGAACTAACAGCAAATATTTACTGTGGTATAAATATTTACTGAGAAGTCACAAAAGCACCTACAGGATGAACCTCTCTAATCCAGCACACTCTAGTCCAACAATATCCATGGTCCAGCATGATTTTAGCTAGACAGATGTCCACTTACCATGGGTGTAGCCACGTTTCCCATGGTCCCATAAAGTTTGTTTGCAGTCATCAGTGTTGGCTCTCAATATTCTGTGCTGTTATTTAGCTCTAATTTATTCCTAAATGTCTTCTAAGACCCTAGTAAGCAGTGGAAATGTTGGTAATACTGCTAGACAATATTGACCTTCTGTGGTTTGGTAAATTCTCTGGTTTGGCATCGGTCAGGTCCTGAGGGTACTAGACTAGAGAGGTTCAAACTGTACTGACATTTCCATAACAAAAGTCTTGGCCTTCCTTTAGCCACAGAACATTTCCAACTCATTCAAACATCATTACAATAGCGTATTATATTATACAAGCCACTCCAGCTACTGTCAAGCTCCTTTTCTGCAGATGCCCATGTCCAGACTAAATAATTAACAGCATGCGAATTTCAGTGTTAGCTAACACTAGTTGCTACCTGTTGTCTGTTTCCTCTATTCCAGAACAGCCTTACCAGAAAAAAGACAGGTGGTAACAAATATGGTTTTAATTAGGCCACAGCTGTATTCACATATAATATCTGGGTACACTGGGTTCACAGCTTACTGTTTTCCACATACTCCTCATCCTGGTCCCTGCTGTCCCACAGCTGTGCCTTAGCCACTCTCTACTTGTAGGAGCTATGAAAAGAAAGGGTTGGCTCCCCACCATTTGACACAGGAGCTCCAACCCCACTTTCTCAACTCTGATAAGGAATGACTTTTTCCTTTTCCCAACCAAATCCCTTCTATAGCATCTGCTAAGAGTTTTGTATGCTAAGTTGTGACATTATAACAAAAGCTACCATTTAGTCATGGGTATTTTTAATACAAAACATGGACAAGTCATGGACCAGAAACAAAAATTCTCCACCTGTAACCTGTCTATCACTTGTACTATAAATGCCCCTGACTAAATCTTAGTTTGGGGGCTGCTGCTCTGGGCCTCTCTGGGGGGAGAGAGCTGCTGCCTT